CCCTGGGGCTGCGTTAGAGGGATGCTCCGGGGAAGGGCCGGGCCCCACCGCGGGCAATACAGGACACACTCGCCCTCTCCACAGCACAAAGCCCGGCGGCCCCATTCGTACTGCGAGGGGATGGAGCTGGTCAACCTGGAGCGGAGCTGGACAGCCTGACGCCCACAGCCCAAAAGAGAGGCCACAAGGTTCAGCTTTTAAAACCAACCACATTTTATTTCCACGTAACGAGCTCAGTGAAGGGATTTCAAACACTTTGACAATACAATCAACGCGGGGCGCTGTCAGTTCCACTCGAGGCAGAGGCCCCCAAGCTGCTCTGCCAACGTTTTCACCGCTGTCTGGGACCAGACTCCAGCAGCCAGCTTTGGCTTGGGACAGCGCATTGCAGCGTAAGTAGTTACAGAGAAGTGTCTGGTACCACACGATGCTGGCATCCAACAGAGTTAATGACTTACATCCGGCAAGTGGAAAGGAAAGTCTAACAGATTCTGAAGTCACATCACTATGTACATACAGGGTCTGCCCTACAGCCGCTCCAGAACAAGCTAAGCCACTGTGAAGAGTGAAAGACAAATTAAGCGCTGCTGCATTGTTCGTCATGATTCATGTAAATGAGGTATAAACACCAGGACGTTTTAAGCATTAAAGTTTATTTTCCAAAATGCTCTCCTTTATTTGCAAGTGTCCTCTTGAGCATCTAGCTGGGCACAAATGGTGGGGCCGGTTGGAGTACGCGGAGGATGAGGGCAACAGGATCCCAAAGGTGCTCGAATAGAAAAGGAAAAGCAAGCTGCGGGTTTCTACACTTATATTCTCATCCCATAGTGGGCACGTTGAGGGAGACTTTTGCTAGAATAAAATGCAGATCTCTTCATAAAAAAATCAGTTTGCTAAAAGAAAAAGAACCAAACTCAACCTATGGGAATACAGAGCTATCGTCATATCGTTCCCTATTTTCATTGTATAGAAAACAGCCTACAAATAAAGTCACAAAAAATAGACAGTTATATGCTGAGCAGCCAAAAACATCATGATTTATTAATATCTGGAGAAACTTCATAATTCAAACACAACCAAACTGTACATTTTACAATCACATTCTATTTGTAAACAGTTAAAAGCCACTGACTTCTTTTGCATCTTCGGACACAAACAGTTAGAATCAAGGCAATGAAATGATGGCGATTTCTGCACTGTTAAAAGTTTTACCCTTGCCTAGTCTGGAATTCATGGACTAAACAAGTATCTTAGAACACCTTTTGTGGCAGAGAGAGATGGAACTCGTCACTTTTGCAAGGAAGTATTCGCGAGAACTTCTTTTTAAACATTTAAAACTTTTATACAACAAACAATTCTGTAAGCCCAAGAACTTGGTTACAGTATATGCATAGTTACTCAGTTCGGCTTTAAGGTACGACAGTTAAACGTTAACACAGTCACAAGAGCAGGAACAGCCACTCGATGGGATTACAAAAACTGTTTAACTACAGAGTATTAGCAAACCACCACCACTCACTAAGAAAAGGACAGCGTCAGAAAGCAGTTATGTCAAACTCCAGCTCGAAGCAAGTTTTTTTTTGGCAGAGAAAAGTCTTACAGAGCAATAAGTATCATCAGTGCTAAAAGTTGAGTTTTTATTTTTATTTTTTTTTTCCTATAAGAAACTACAAGGAGTTTTTACTGGGGAACTGGTTTTCCTGAGAGCCATGCTCTTTGATTTAGGATACAGGAATAGAAAACAAAAGGACATGGCCAAACACTGTTCATTATTCCCAGAGATAGAAAGCATCTTTTTCATTCTCAATTTTTATTTCTTTTTTTTTTTGTTGTTTTGTGTTTTTTTTTTTTTTAGGTTTTTTTTTTGTCTTTTTAAAAATTTTTAAAATGATGGAAGAGTAAACATTTTTCTCAAAAAAGGAAAAAAAAAAGAAAAAAAAACCAAAAACTATTCTGTAAACAAGAAGGTCCCGACACGGGCACCCCCAAAACAAAATTGAAAGCCTATTGAAAGTGCAGGACCCCCCTGGCTTGCAGGCTGGGTTGCAAGTCACAGCTGTGGCCACAGTTTTTCAAACTGTAGAGCTAAATTCTTTAGTTTTATACATGAAAAAACTGGTGCAATACTTTTCATTCATAATCCTAAGTCAGTATCATAACTTGATCTTGAAACGCCACAATACCACGAGAAGGTAGGCATACATCAAGGCATAGTAGAGAGCGCACACTGTTTGTAAGAACATCCTTGAGTAAACATTTACACGTGAACTGCTGCCTCCCCGATATTGCCGATTGGACAGAGAGAACATCATTCAGTGCAAAGTTAAAAAAGCTCATACTCCAACATCAGCAAAATGCAACAAAATCAAAGGAAAAAGGAAAAAAAAAATAATATGGAATTCAAAGAATAAACATGATGAATATACACAATGAGCTCATTCCAAGCAGTTTTATATGGATAGCACTATCTGGAAGTGTAAATATATACTTTTTCACATTATAACATTGGCCTGCATGATTCAAGTATTCAAACTGATATGTTTTGGGCTAAAACAAAGTGGAAAATGTGCAGAAAGTAACTGTTTCCACAGGTGACCCCCTTGCTGTAGGTGAAAAGTCCAAATTAGTGCTGCTTTGTTACGTCTTGAGGTCACAGTTTATTAGTTGAAAAAAGTAAAAGGTTACATGGACTCTCCACCTCCACCTAGGTGGTCAACAGAAAGGAAAGCGTTGATGGGGGACGGGCTGCTAATTCCCCTGGTGTCATTGCTGCTCGGGGTGCCCCACAGGCTCGTGGAATAGTTGGGGCTCCCCCAAAGTGAAGTGCCATGAAGGTCTCCACTGCTAGTTCCCGACAGCCCAGCACCATTCCAGTGATTTAGATCATTACGGTTTGAGAACGAATGGGAACCGTCAATGGATCCAAGTCGGTTCTGGCTGGATCCCAGAGATTGCCAGCCAGGAGACGGAGTCAGAGACTGGCCTTGTGCAAAGAAGCGACTAATCTCCTCTTCACTGGCAAACTCAGCAAGAATAGTAGTGTTCCCTAATACACACCTGCGGGAGGATGAGAAGAGCACGTTTTAAACAGAGACACCAAGGTCCTTCCCTTCACCTACGTGCCATCAGCTCCAAACCCCGTGCCACAAGCCCATTAGATCTTAGGCTGGCCCTGCGAATCCTTGCACCCCTGCACACAGAAAGCATTTAAACCCCAACGAAACACTGTTTGAGACTAAGAAATGAAAAGCAACTTACATGTGCAGAGATTTTTGTGCCTTCACTACCTCTTCTTTTGAACTGTAACGGACCAAAGCATTACCATGTGGGAGGTTAAGGTGGAATGTTATTAGTGGACCGTGCTGCATGCACAGAGTACGCAGGGTTGAGCCATCGATCTAGGGGAGGAACAAAGGCAGAACGTGAGCCCAGCCTGCACAGAGCTCCCACTCGAGGCAGAGCTGCCCACCCCCGAGGAGCCACACTTACCTGAGGTGTAAGGTTTTTTAGAACAAGCCAATTTGTTATTCTCCCTGAGCTGCTCTCACCCCAGCTTGAACCTGAACGAGGGAGAAGAAAGGGGTCAGAACCCCGCCACGCTGAACACCGGCTGTAGGAGGAGCATAAGAAGCTGCACAGCAGCTGCAGGAGCATTCACAGATGAGAAAAACTTACACAGTACTGATCTCGTCCAGACTTATCGCCCTCAGAAAGCTGCTCTGGATGGTACAGGACTTAATGTCTGTATCCACTCATTCTGTTTACGTTCAGAAGCGTTTTGATGATGTAAATACCGTCCTAAGTAGCTACACTGTTGTCAGATAATCATAATTGCAGCAAAAATGCAAATGTATTTGTTTAGACTCTTGCTGCAAGCTCAGAGCAGTTCTGAAGCCTGTCTGAAGCCTCCCTGTGCTCTCATGAGCTAATTCATTACGGTATGAGCCACTCTAAGAAAAATGCTTAACGGGCAACTGCATTCAGCTGCACAGATGTCAAACTCGGGAAGGACTCGGAGAGATGGTTCATGCGAAGGACAGGAGAAGCTGGTGCCATCCCCACTCCCAGCCCTTCCCTGTTTCATATGGTAGGAAGCCTGCCGCAATGCAGCTCAGGGGACACAGCCCAGCTTCAGCTTTTGGCAAGACAAATGGTACAGATGTTAGCTAGCAGTGACACATTACCCAGATTCCCTGGCTTGATAACAAACCAAAAACCTTCACATGCAAAAAGAGATCCTTACCAGGGGTATATCGGGCATCAGAACTTCCCCATCCTCCACCCAGGCGAAGGGAATTATCCCAAGTGGACAAGGGTGGTTTCTGGCCTGTAAGCCCTGGAGGCGGGCGGGACGGAGCAGTGATGCTTTTAGGTGGCAAAGGGACCTTCCACAGCTCATGAGCCAGAGAGGTGTTAGTGACTGATCCAGGAGACCATGTTGATTTGGAATCACTGTTTCTGGCTACTAAAAGACAGATAAAGACAACCACAATTCACAGTGCTGCTGGAACCATCACCTTGCTATAACAAGAGTAGTAGCAAACTGCTAAACGAGAATAAAATCAAAACAGCTACTCTGGAAACCAGTGAAGTTACTGCTCAGGTGAGACCTCGGGACTACTTTTTATTAACGTCCAGTGTCCCCCTGAGGCACATGAAGGGGAAGAAACACCAGCTTAGAGCAATATAAGCAGACATTACCTGAAGTGCTTTGTGCTGTACTGCTGAGGGAAACATTGTAGTTGGAGGCACGAATGGATGACCAGGCACTAGTTGAAGGCAGCGTGGTGTTCAAAGATGAGGATGACCCTATAGTAAAGACAGAAGCCAGTCACAGCACAGTCCATCACCACCATAACACTTACAAGGCATGACTTGTAACCCAGACTAAACACGTCTGCAGACAGACAAGGAACCTCCTCCACTGTTCTCAGTCCCCATCCTGCACCCAAAGGCTGTGGTGACAAGCACGCTCAGCAGCACTCGGCAAGCAGAGCTCGTTGTTACTGCAGTGGCTGCACTGCCAAGATTTGCTCGCCTACTTTCAACCCCACAGCCTCTCTGTGCAAGATTACATCAGAATTACACATTAATTAATGACTACACATCAGCAGCGTCCACTCACTGCCCACATTCTTGGAGTATCTGCTGCATTGCATCAAGTACCAGTGCTTGAGCCAAGGATGAGCTTTTCAGCCCCGAAATCCACAATACAGAAGATAAACAAGGGGACGAGGAAGCACAAACCCATCTCCAAGTAAACAGTCCCTCTCTGTGCCCGAAGGAGGAGGAGCACACGATGGAGAGCGCAGCACTGAACCTACCACTGTTCCTGTCCCTGAGGTGGTCAACTTCCCGCACAGTATTAATTGACAGATTGTTTATGACACTGCCAGGAGTGACGTAAGGGTCAGTTTCAGGGTCGATGTTTGGATAACCTTTCCATGGCTCACCAGGCCGAAACTCTAGGAATGGACACGCAGAAGAGAAGCTTATTTTGATTTGCAGTTTTACAACAGGAAACATCTGTCTAAACAACACATCTCCTAATGACTGAGAAGCCCAAACATTTAAGCGTTTAATTTACTTAATCGAGTCTTCTCTTCACTTCAGTCACTTCTAGTTTTTCTGGTCCCATCCCACCAGGGTGCAATCTCGAGGCAGAGGGATCCACTCCTCTTTGTACAATGAAACCTCTGCTCAAAGCACCCTCAGTGCTCTGCCGTGGGCTGTTCCCCTGCCCCTCACCTGCAGCGCCCGGGGACCCAGCAGAGCCCCGTGTGAGCGAGGACACGTACCTGGAGGCCAGTTAACACTGCTAGAGCCGTTAGGCGATTTGGCACGGGGCCAGCCATCCCCAATGGATCCAGGGGGACTGGCTGGTGAATTACTGCTGTTCATAAAGTCATATGGAACAAACGGAGACTCTTCCAGCCTGAAACCACTTGAAATAGCACCTAGTAATAAAAAAGTAAGTATTTTTCAAACCCAATTCTTACGTTTTCTCTCTCTCTCTATGTAAGGCCATACCCTTGTAAAGCATTCATGAAATACACAGCAGCACACTGTCCTCTAGTGATGTCAAGTTATACAGGAAGTCACACAGGAGTGTATGATCTAAAATGAAATGCCTCTGAATAATTCAGGAGAAAAATGTAAGATCATGAAATCATTGCATTCAAATAGCATACTTAAATTTATTAAGTAAAATACTAATTCAATACTAATTCAACAGGGCAAGAGCTTTCTGTGAGACCTAACTGGTTAACAGGATAGTGGATAGAATCATAGAGTATTCTGTGAGGGGAGGGCTCCTGAAGAAGCATCTACCCAAATCTGAAGGATCTTGAGCTACTGCGAAGTTCTGCAACTCCTACTTATGTTCCTGGCAGGGCAAAAAAACGAATGTAGAAATCCCTGGAGGCAGAGGAATGAATGGAAGCAGAGCACAGCATCACACAGTCTGTACAAGTCATGTAAGGAGAAGCTGAAAAGTCATCAGGCAGCAGAGGCAAAGCCATTCTGAGGGAACAGAGGACTTTTACTAGGGATTCGACGTGATACGGAGTTCAAATAATCAAATTCCTGATGCTGTTCAGAAAACATCACCCCCAGCTAAAGTAACAGCAGCACCAAGTGCCGGGGGTTACTTCGGATGAGGCTCAGAGGTGCAGTGGCAGGACACCTCCACTAGGCACATAAGGCAGCATCATTTCACAGTAGTAAAGCAGCTGACAAGTCTATAAATATCCCAACAATCTCAAGACTGAACAGTAACAGGAGACTGGAGACATCTTATAACTATCTTTAGACACAGAACCTTTGTGTGATGGACTCGCATTTTAACTGGATGAGATTTCAGGCAACTGAAACAGTTTAAATGTCATATGAATTCTGATTACTGGGATGAAATAAGAAGCAACCAAGTCCTCTGCCTCCTCCAACACTGAGTACAGCATTGGTACTGGTCTATCCTTCTAAGCTCTCCCTGGTTTCAGAACGCAAATGTACACATTCACAACCAGAACCTGTAATCAAAAATGTCAGACATGACCAGAGTTAAACCCCCATAAACCGCTTTAAGGCCAGCAGGGTGGGGGGAAACCAAGCTAGAAAATCTAAAGCTTTTGGTTCCAGAAGACATGAAGCATTCCAGCCCAGATCAAGGTAAAGCTAGGAGAGCAGCCACACTTAAAGACAAGTCTGGTTGGAAAAGGCATTCCACATGTTTCTACTAAATCCCATCACAAGATCTCTTCTGTAAGTAAAAACACCCAGGCAGCTCTGGGCTGCTGGAGGAGACAAGCAGCACATTTGGCACAGACAACACAATACAAATGCTGACAGCTATGAGCAACGCAGTAGTTACACCTCCAGGCCTAACCACAGCATGTGAGAGCCAGAAGGCAAAACCAGGCTGTGAGATGCGAGATGCTGTTCAACGTACCATGTTTGCTGGAGTTTTGATCCAAGGATGTGTTCACAGAAATGCTGTCGACTGTAGTCCATTTCCTCAAGCGAGATTGTGGCTCTTTAATACTGCTCATATCCATGTTTACATTCAAGTTTGAGTTCATTCCTAGAAACATATATAGCTTATGAAATACAGGCTGAATGTTTGTCTTCTGCTAATCACCACTGTTGTCCTAATGAACATTTAAGAGCATGTTACTACGGTTGTTTCATGCTTCCAAGTCTCTGCCTTTGAGAAACACTCTAGCATTTAATACAGTGAACTTACTCCAGATGCAAGCTAAGCTAAGCAATGCAAAGCACCCGAAGTTCTCAGCTGATGTCTTCATGCAAAAAGGGCAGTGGAAGAAGCCGCTGGGAAGTTGGAGAAGCTCAAATACCAGCACAGCAGCAGCACAGCTGATCTCGTCCGGAGGGAGCAGAGGAACTGCCCTTTGGAGAGCTACACTCAGTTAGAAAGGACACTTTTCTCACCGGGGTGTCTGTACTCATCCCTGTTCAGCAGAAGTTATGTCCTGGTGTCTGCAGTTACAACCTCACTCCTGTTCTTATCTGGGCTGTTCAGGACACCTCACCAGCCCCAGCCCCACACCAGCACAGACTGCATGGAACCACGCAAGTAGTAACACCCCCTCCTCTCCATTTACCCTCCTCACACTGAACAGTGAAACCACAGTAAGCGAAACCAAACACAACCTTGTCTTTGCCTGTTCTAAGCTGTTGTCTGTATTTCAAAACGTTTATCTGCTGGGGAATCAACACAATGCCAACCCAAGTGAAGGCACATCCCTGCGAGCACCAGCTATTCTGGGCTTGGACAACTGTGCCCGTGCTCTGGACTTTGTCACGCCTGCTCCCTTTCCAGGTCAGGAAGAATCCTTAATTCCCAACCATACCTGGTTACATTTCCAACACTTCAGATCTATTTACTCCAGTTCTGAAAATAAATCACCACAACATTTTAACTTAGTGTCAGAGACACTCGGGGAACATCTCAAATCTCTACCAGAAACACCTTCATTCAACACTGAAAACCAGTGCTTAATCTTGCTCCTGAGTGGATACTCATTGCCATGGTTTTTCATTTGTTTGGTTGGGTTTTTTAGTTTAGGCAGGAGCAGATGTGGATGTCAGAAAAGCAGCACCTCCAAAAGCCTCAGAGAAAGTGTCTCATATACTGCAGGTTCCTTCAGTGCAGCAAAGATTAAGGTGAGAAAGCAGCTTCTTAATAGTACACAACAATTCAGCTTGAGAAGTGAAACAGAAAAGAACCTCATGTAGGCAGGATGCAGTACGTTGGGTGAGAAAGTGAAATACTGCTCTCCTTAGAACTAGCAGAGTGTCTCTAACAGCTGAACAAGCTTCAGTGTTATGCCTTGGCCTCTGAATGAAAGCAGGAGTTAGATATTGATGCCAATTATCATCAGCAACTAGTAAGCAGCAGCCTGGACTTAAGACTGGCCATAAGCAAAACTGCAGTGTGCCACATGCAGGGCAAGAGCACAGCCTGCACCGACCCACTGCCTCCATCACACTCCACCTGTAAGCACAAGGGTTTCAGCAGCAGTCTCTACCAAACAAACTGCTCTACGAAGGGCAATGAGAATGCAAAGGAAACCAGCCCAACAGAAACGACCAGACTAGGATAAAATAGAAGGAAAGCAAATCGGAGGAAATAAATAGGGATAAGGAACGGAGGTAAATGGTAAACAGTTGTAGTAAGCATAAGACAGCATTAAAAAGGGACCTAAAGTAAGGAGAAAATATACAAGCCTGGAATTTCTGAAGTAGAGATTGGACAGAAGCCTGGAAATGTGGGGAGAAAGAAACAGGAGATGTTTGTATTTATAAATGTTCAGACATTTTGCCTGAAATGAGACAACCATTCTTTAAAAACGCAGAGCTAAAAGCTTTCTTGCCTGGACAAAACCACCACAGGGGAAACGAACGTTTTTCTCTACCTATGCAAATCCAGATGCGCTGAAAATGCTTTTAAAATCCAAAGTAATGAGAGCACTTCAATGGGTTCTTTGTACGCATTCTACTTCTAAAAGTCCTTTAGCTCGAGGAATTCTAACTGCAAAAGGACTTTGTATCATCCTTGGGGCCCAGAGGGTAAAAAAGAAACAAAAGGAGACACGCATTCTTTAAGAATGTACAGCATCTGCACTGAAATACAGTCACTTCAGGGAAGGAGAGTACTTGCGACATAAGTTCTTTGGTGAACAAAGATAACTGGATAAGCCCCAAAGAATCACCACTTCCATGAGAAGTGTAAGTGCTAACAGGATTACGGTCCCTGTTGTTTTCAGAGGAGACAGGCAACGTGAGAAGAAAGACTGGGTGTTCTGTAAGCATTAACTGTATGAAGTTAGTGTGGAAAAACCCACCTATGGGGAAGCTGCTGAATGCATTTATTGGCGATGGCCCTTTCTGCAGCTCAGGAGTAGCGTGGGGTATGACATTCTCAAGGAAGGATTTCATGGAGGGTTGATGGAGTGACTGCTGCTGAGAGGGTGGAGTTTGCTGCTTCATTAACAGGTTTGGATCAAGCTGACGGGACTGTTGCATCATCTGTTGCTGCATACTAAGAGATCGACCCTTAAAAAAACAGAGCAGTTACAATATAAATGGGCAAAAAGCTTTTCCACGTTTAAAGAAAGATCAGGAAATGCATCTTTGTGCTCCGTGCATCTACGCACAGCAGAGCCCCAGCCTTAAGTTAAGCCACTCCTTTAGAGCTTGCCAAAACCCCCATTCACTCTTGCACACGTTAATACCACTTCTAACAAGAGAGGCAGCTCAGGACAAAGAACAGGTTTTAAAGACAGTTTGAGAAGTGCATAATAACGGGTTTCATTTACCTGCTGCTCCTGCTGCTGACGACCACCAGAAGGCATGCTTCTTTGATTCTGCGCTTTTTGCTGCTGAGCCAACAACCGCTAGGAGACAGTGTTTGGTGGTGGGGGTTTGTCAGAACAGTTCAGAGCTGACGGGAAGTCTCTACTTAGACTTTCAAAGAGAACTGAGCGACTAGCTCTGTTAGCTTACCTGTAACTGGGAGATCTGAGAAAGCTGGTTTAACTGGGACAGTTGATTCAACATGGCTACCTGTTGTGGGCCAAAAAGTGGGCTCAGGCCACCGTTGTTTGGTGCATACTTCAGTAATGATACTGGAACCTGCAAAATGGACCGGTATGGAGAGTGACTGACAGTAACGTGCCACCAGTTACAGCAGATACAGCACAACCTCTGTCAACAGCTGCCTGGTTTCTGAAACACTCCCCAAGCCAAATAACCCTTCAAATATTTACAGAATAAACATCAGCAACACCCATAAACAAACCCCAGTTTTCTGAAGCAGCATTTTGGCAGTTTATTCCCAGAATGTTTTATGTACTTCATTACCTGAGGGGATAGTAATGGAGGAGGCACTTGAGCACGTGGATTAGGCTGAGATGAATTAAGAGGTTGTGCTGGAGGCTGCTGCATGCTCCTGGGCTGTGCTGCTATATTACCAACACCAAACATACTGGGATTGCCATTCTGGGGAAAGGAAGGACAGTCAGTGACAGTAAAGCTCTTCTGCTGCTCCTCCCACCCCTATGCATTTGAATTAGAAATTAAACACATCAGTCACATAGGTAGGATGTTATATCAAAAGGCATTAAATGCTGTCAAGTAACATGCCAAGGATATGCACACAGCCTTACCTGTCTAACAGAATTCAAGTTTTGCATACCCAGCCCTGCTAGGGAGCCAAGGGCTTGGTTAGGTAGTGCATTATTTGAAGGGGGAAGCTTCATGTTTTGATTGGACATAAACTGCATGTTTTGGGACTCGTCTGCTACAATGCCATCCTGATGGGACAGACAAACCGAGGCGCAAACCCAGCCAGCAAGCAAGCAGAAGGGAGAAACCATTGCCAGGAACAGAAGGGAAGAGTCACAGACAGTCCAGCACCAGCAGGAAATAGGCAGAAAACAAAAGAGATCAGGTTAGTCATTTGCACCGCAAAGGGGCTACAGAAAGTGCTTAGTATTAGATACATCAGTAAGTTAAAAAGGACAAACATCTCTTACAGATTAACAAGAAAGCCCCAGTTTTCATCTCCACTAAATGCAGAAAGTTAAGGAGCGCACAGGTAACTACTTTGAAGGCAGAGTCAAAGAAGTTTACAGGTGTCCAGCAGGGGGACACTACTGACCTTATCAAAGTAAGGACCGCGATCCATGGAAGACTCTTTGGAAATCTGAGGACGAGAACCAGGGCCTTTTCCAACCACACGGTTGTAATCTCCCACACTGAGGCCGTGCTTATCCATCTCCATCCGCTTATCTGGCAATAACCCTGGGAAAAGGTGAGAGGTGTGACTGCAGCACTGCAGGATCCTGCAGTATTCCAGACACCAGCACCTGCCTGTGCTTCTGAAGAGCTGAACTGATGTTGTTCTCAAGCTAGAGACTAATGAAAGAAAACACCAGTTTAGCTTTGAACTCTCTGGGCTTCACTGAAAAGGGAAAGGAAACACTATGGATCAATGGCTATAGACAATTGAGAACTTGGCATCAGCACAGCGTCAGCAGGCTTTGCTAGACTCCACAAAAATGTTGTTCTCAGTTCTTAAAACCAAGGAAGTTTAATTGTTCAAACTGGAGTTTCCAGTTGTGAACGCCACGTGTCTGTTTTTGAGAGCAAAAAGCACTGTCCTGGCTTTGAAGTAGTATCTTTGTCACATCCCTACATCCATGTAGTATTTCAGAGGCCCTTTAATTTGATTCAGTTAAGAAAAAACCCTATTAGCTAAAACCCAACCAAACAAAAACCTTCACAAGTGTAGAGTATTTGTGGTTATTAAAAGCAAATTTGAAGTTATTTTTTCTAGGCAAGCTACAAGATCAAAATGTAAGCAGTAAAAAAGGGCCCATTTAATCCTTCACTACATTCAGTGCAAGAGAATCACTTTCCAAACTGATGTTTTAAACTCAAAATTCAAAAAAGAAATAATTCAAATATAAGGCTTCCCATTGACATAAAAATCTAAAATTCAACGAACAATTTCTTTACACAATTAGACTATGACCCAAAAGTGAAAATACCTGATTTTAAACTGGAATAAGAAGAGTGCAACTACAGTGAACAGCACTGGGCTACAGTTACTTCTAAATTAAAATTCTAGCAGTATGGTATCAGTGTATTACAGAATTATGCTATTTGTCATTTGCTGGAGGAATCGTAACAGTCGTTGGATTCAAATAACACCAGAAGTGCTCCCAAGTCATTTCACACTCAGGTTGAAACGTTTCTGAAATAACCGTTCAGTATTAACTCAGTTCTTAGAACTGAGAATGTGTTTCCAAGAATGAACCGCAATGAGGGACTGTGGGATTCGGAGCGTGTCTGTGTGTAGCGAAGGATGTATCCCGAGGGCAAGCCAGGTACTTACACTGCAAGAAGCAAAACCACCACACCCTGAAAGCACTCTTTTGTGTCAGCTCCGCTTGATTTACAGGGAGTATCACTAGAGCAACCAGGTGATTCACATGTGTAGCATTACCCACATGCACACAGGTTTTTTTCTCTACAAGGGTATTCTTTAGGGAAGCATATTGAACTATATATACCTATAGCTATATATATATATGATATATATAGTTTTTGAAAAGTAATTTGCAGAAGGATATAAACTGAAGGAGAGACTGGGAAGGAAAGCAATAAAAGCCAGGCAGGTTCTCCTAGCCTTACCTCCAGACATGTCCATCTTATTGCTCTGTATGGTTTCTTCTGGTGATTCTCTCTGAAGTAATAAAATGAATCATAATTATTTAGTAATATTTTTAAAAGCTAACCCAAAGAGATTCCTATAACACTATTTACATTCAAACCTGCAAGGGGAAAAAAAAAAAAAAAAAAAAAGAGACAAATCAGATGCTTTTTTAAAGCATTTTCTCCCTTTAGTTGTTACCCAACTGAAAACAGGTATTTCACCAAAATACGTGTGTAACGTTAAGTAAAACCCCAGAGTACTGGGTGAACATCTGGATGGTGTTCACAAAACCACTTCCCATCAATCAATTGGTGTTTTTGTAATGAAGATTCAAAGCAAAGGGATGGGTGACAGAGGGGAGACAAACAGAAGTAAAGAGAAAAGCACTGTGAAACAAACCCCAGGCAATTGAGCATGTTATTCTCTATGCATTATAACCAGCACAGTGAGAAGGCAGCAGAGCCAAGTAAGGGTTAAATACTTACTGAAAAAGTGAGATTTGTGAATTGCTTAATGAATGGATTGATCCATGTTTCATCTTGCTTATTTCCACCTTTCATTATTCCCTTAAAAAAAGAAAGGAATTCCCATGATGCTCAGATGTTTACCACCTACTGCTTAAATGATATCATAGAATGTTATGAATGAAGATTAAAGCTTAATGGCCCCTCTCAGGGCAGCACTGTTCTGACTCAGCTTTCAGACATGCCAACAGTGCAGAAACCTCAGCCTGGGCTCCTCATTACCTTCGTGGGCATTTTCTTCATGTACGGTGGCCAATTTAAAGATGAGTTAGCTTCTTGTGAAGAACTGCTGTTCCACATTCCAATCTCCACATCCTCCTCTTCCTCCCAGCTGGTCTGACGACTGCCTGTCAATGGCATGTCATCTCCACACCAACTATCTTGCATAGATTTAGGCCCTGGTTGTGAAAAAAACCCAGCACTTCAGCATTTCAGTCGCAACTGACTGTCCTCAACACAGACCTTGGCTTGGCTTGGTCCTTACTTCAAGGTCACACGCCCTCAGAAACGTCAAGCTTCCATAGAGCTGCTTCCCCATCCCCAGACCCTTTCCTCAGAGATGACACAGGAAGGAAGCACTCACCGGGTTTGTTTGAAGCCTGTTGACCAAGAGAAGCGTTTCCCCAGCCAGAGGTGCCTCCTGCATCGCTGATGGGTTCTCCCCAGCTAGTACCAGTATCCATGGGCTTACCCCACGCTGAAGTTCCATTATCTACAGTAGTGGCTGGAGTAGAAGGCTCTCCCCAACCTTTTTAAAGCAGTATGAGTTATTGGCATGTTTTTAAACAGGATTTTAAAAGCTACCTAAAGAAACTCAAGTGGTTTGCTTTTCTAGAGCCATAACACACAGCAAAAAGCATATTAGAGCACATTTACACATTACAGTTGTAAGCTGTTAAAAAATAATCACAAAAATACAGATTTCACATGTAAAGAATTACATTTTGTTAATAGAAATGTCTAAGATGTTCCCAGAACTGCTCATTATACTTAAGCTACTCCTCTCCACACTTGAAAGAGAAGCACAAAGTACTCCACAAGCACCACACAAGCTCATCTGCAATTATTGCTATTCGCTGCTCCCAAAGCTACAAGACCAGCAAGTCTGATCTCGAGTCCATATAAACCACCACCCCTCATTCTGTCCCAACACTTTTGGAGCGGGCTCTTCGGCAACATTAAATTTTAACTGGTTTAGAATCAAATGAAGAAAAATACTTTCATTCCTCAGATACTAGGAGGTACTTTCTGTTTCCACACCCCAGAATTCAAATAGAGCTGAGTTACTTTAACTCCTCAAGCTATTTAAAACCAGAACAGATCTTCCAATCTGTATGAAAACACCAACGTCTATGAGCACTGCTGTTGGATTTTTCCCCTAAATAAGAACAGCACTTCGCTGGCATCCCCCTTTCCACTTCAAGCTAAAATACTGTTTTATGAAGCAAGAACAAAAGAAATGTTTTACAGGTAGGAGAAAACAGTGCATAAAACCAAGCCTTACCAGAACCCGAACTGCTCTCCTTGCTAGACATGGCACTTGAAGACAGTAGCTGCTGATGTACCTGTGCTTGCTGGTCTGAACTGCTGCTACTGTTTGGGACATTTTTATTCCACATATTCACATTTTTGTAGTTGTACTTGCTCGGATCCCCCCAAGCAGAAGTTCCATCATCAATCTCCATTTTGCGGCGTATTGATTCGGGGGACGGCTCCTCCCAGCCCGTGGGCTCTTCCTCCTTGGCCGGCGCCGGCATCGGCCCCCCCAGCCAGCCTGAGCCGGGGGGCTTGCTCGGGGCAGACGGTGCTCCCCAAGAGCCAACATCTTGCTTGTTCCACTCTGGAGAGTTGACTGGCTTGGATGAATCCCCCCAAACTTGAGGCTGATTGGATTTAGGAGGGTCTCCCCAGCCCTGGCTCTGATTAGGCTTTGCAGGCTCATCCCATCCTGAAGAAGTATTTGGGTTTGTATTACTACCTCCCCAAGAAACAGAGTTTGATTTACCTGGCTCATTCCAACCAGATGCTGATCTGTCACTGTTGCTACCTCCTGAACTGGATTTCTTAGCCTCACCCCAATGGTTACTTCTTGAGTTTTCACCCCAGCTATCACCGGCAGAAACTGCCCAACCCTGGCTGGCCTTCTGTCCATCCGCCCATCCCTGTTTGATCTTCTGTGCGTCATTCCAAGACGACTTTTCCTCTTTGCCACTTCCCCATGATTGATTGCTCTTGACCATTACTGTAGCAGCAGAATCTTCTTCCCACCCCCCTTGGCTGTTTGACCCTTTGGAGTCTCCCCACCTTGTAGCAGACTTTGGATCTCCCCACCCTGATACAGATGAGGTATCATTATTATTAGGGCTAGGTCTATCCACACACCCCCCTGAGCTGGAAGTCTGTGTCACAGAGCCCCCCCAGGCCTCTGTCCCATTGTCAGTTTTTCTTTCACCCCTTGGTGATGTTTCGGTATCCCAGGCAGTGTTCTGTTTGATTGGAGTCTGTCCCCAACCAGAGTTGGAAAGGACACGTGGATCTAAGTCAGTTCTGTTCACTATACTTTGGAGTAACGCGTGCTGGTCGACTTTCCTTCTCTCCCGGTTCTGGCCTTCCGCAGTGGCTCGATCTTCGTGGCACCCAGTGCTCTCGGCGCTGCCCTCGCTGTCTGCTGTACCTGCTTTGGTCCACGCGCTGGTCTGCTCCGTGAGCTGAGGAGCAGCAGGACTCTGGCTGCTGAGGTCCTCCTCCTCAGCAGACTTCCATCCGTTTGTAAACTTCCTGCCGTTGCCGTTCACACTTTCATTGGAATGCTGATTACTGGGCAGTTTACTCCATTCCCCGTTCGAAATGTTAGTGCCAGTGCTTTGTGCAGGGTTGCCCCATCCTCTTCTATTCCCGCCGGCACTCGCACCATTCCCACTTCCCCATGGCATGTTCTGGGAGTTGACTGTCCCTGCCTCCCACACCCCTCCTCCTTTATTCCCATTGATTTGAAAGTTAGTGCTGCCAGGCCCGCTAATGCCTGGCTGCATTAGAGTTGCATTCACAGTGTCACCATTAGCTTGGCTGTTTGGGCCTGAACATTTGTCTCCAGAGTAATTAGAACCATAGGCACCCCATGTAGTACCATAAGATCCACCATTTTTCGCCTCACCATTGCTAAGATGAGGAATGGAAGTGCCATTTGAAACTGGAGAGGCCTGAATCTGAGAATGATTCATTGTGCTCACGCGCCAGGCCCCATGCCCTGTATTATTAGGCAGTTCGTTAATCTGCACTGAACCAGCAGAGTTTGGTAAACTAGAGGTCATAAAGTTAGTAGTGTTATTTGGTCCATTCATTTCAGTGTTAAGGTTTTGAGGTTGCCCACTGAATGAAACATTCCTTGTACCATTTACTTCAGAATCACAACTTTCCTGAAGGCTTCCCCAGGAACCATGGGCTGAACCACCCACCTTAGAGTTAATACTCTGACTATTAGATATCTGACCTATGGTACTGCACTGAATACTTGTGCCAGGATTACCACTCCCTACAGACCCTTTCAGGGCATGTCCATTGTTCTCCAATACAGACCAGGCACCATGGTTGCCATTTGAATTCAAAGTGCTTGGATTTAACCCTCCATTTGATGAAGAGTTTATGGTGCCCCAAGCATTCATTCTATTGTTGCTACTTTCAGATTTGCTGTCAGGAGCATCCACAGAAACTTGACATGTGCTTATTATGGTCCCGTGGGATAAGCCCCACGGCCCATTAATACTTCCATTGCCCACATTATTGCTGTTGCTACCAACCACAAACTTATTCTGAGAACCATGTCCAATGCCATTCCGAATGCCATCGCTTTCTCCACCTGTGCTCCCTGAAGCCATTATCACGAGGTTCCTCTCTGACCCAGAGCTAGAGGCAGAGTCAGTGTCCATACATTCTGATGTCAGCTCTGGGTCACTGCCAGTGATTGATGGCCATGCTTCTTTGTCAGAGCCGTCTACAATAACTTTATCCCAGTTTGTGCTGGAGTCACTATTTGAAGAGACTGGTCCCCAGTGAGAATTTTCATAATGGGATCCTAGACCACTGTGGTTCAGATCTAAAGGGAAGAGGGAAAGTCCAAGAGCAGTATTATAAATTTAGTATTATTACTTCATTAAGCAGAAGAGGAAAACAGATGCGTAAAGATGCTAAGCCAAGAATTCCTTTGCATATTTGAACACTACAGTCCTGATGAGGACAGAGAAAGCTCCCAGGTAAGTGCAGCTGCTCAGAACACTGTCCCCCCCCCCAACCTAGAACACTTGTCACCAGAGCACGAAGCAGCACTCCTGAAGGTACATGCCTTTCCCCCCCACCCCCAGAGAAATAGTTGAGGTTTTTTAAATACTCTGTATTTAAAATGCTTTCCAGACACACGTACATATTAAACCCTAAATACTACACAGAAATCAAAGACATTGGAAAGGCAAAAATGTGAACAGGCTATTACACTGACCTAGCAGCACCGACTGCTGTGTGACAGTAGCCAGAGAAACACTCACCTTCCCACCCCATTAAGACATCACTGAAGGATTCTTAAGTACAAGTTAGTGAAGATATTTCTTTAATCCAACAATCCAACACAAACCCCACAATAAAGTCCTGCTCTGCAGAAGCTCAGATTAAGGCTGTGGCTGACCTGATACTTCTTCTTCTCATTTATCTAAGAACCACTGCTTCTATTTCAATAGACAAGCTGATGATGTGGGAATCAGGCAGACACAGCTCCTAATTCACCCACACGCTTTTCATGGCTAAATACAGGCACCATGGAGCATTTGGTACAAAACAAGTACCATCAATTCTCATCTCAGGTGTCCAACGCTTTAGTGCAGAGACCTCCCCCATGACTGCTCAATCAAAACACCAGCAGAAGATGGAACTATGGAAGTGTGAAGCGTGTGAAACACAGCGATGAAGCTGGCAAAGGAACACAAGTACAAAAGGCCACGGGAGCTTTCTCCTTTGTGTTTGCCTGCACTGAAAACACCACCACACCGGTGCACGCTCAATGCTGAGTATGAGGCAGCTTCTCTGCACATGAAAACATTCAGGTGAGGGGTTTTTTAAGTAAACTGTCATCATTTCTTTGCAATATTCCCTTTTTTTTGCCTTTACCTGGGCTATGCAAAATGCATGTATCTTGGAGAGCTGGAAAACATTCCTCCAGCTGAACCCCACACCTGCCTGTTAATGTGTTACTAGAAAAAACACTGTAGTATCTGAGCAAAATCCAACAAACCCCAAGATCTCAAATCTCACACTGGTGTTTAAAGAAAGAAGTCATTTAACATGTATTAAAAGACTAACCAAAGGTAAGAGTTGCCTGCACTCTCATGAAGGAGAGAATCCACAGCAGCAAAAGCTGTGCTCACAAAACATCTGGATTGAAAAACATCATCTCAGTAAGAGATCAATTTGAAGAGCAACACTGAAGTGTTCAGATGCAAACAGCCCAAACTCAACACGGTGAAAGAGACACAGGTTATGAGTACAGGCCAGAGTGAAACAGCCGACAAACCCTAGTGCACAACAACAGAATGATTAAAGAGAGCTTGTATTTATTAAAACTCTATTATCCTAATTTAGATGTGATGCACAGTTTGTAAGGAGCCAACACACAGACAACAGGTAATGCCTGATTTCCGGCCATCCAGGATGTGATCCCACTGCATACAGAACTACCCTGACTTGACAGTTTTCCTCAACATGAACACGTGTTAGTACTTTCTAGCAGGAACCACCATTCTGGAATATCCCTCTCTGAACCTCCACACCCCACAAACGTCTGAGATTAAGAACACAAATACTGAGTAAGCAGGAGATTATCTGTGGTGTTCTGTGTCTGGCAGATACCACACAACCACCCTCAAAATTGAGAAATCCCAGCTGACAACATACTGCCTTTGGTGCCCAGCAAACCCAGCCAGCAGCAGCCCAGGCCTGGGTTCTCCCCAGAACTATTCAGAAGGTGCAGCTGAACTTTTGCTGCTTAAGTTCTGGACATAAAAAAATTACATACAGCTGAGTTTCTTATAATTCAGTTTGTGCCTTGCTAAAGCACTTCAAACCCAGGAACGAGCAGATGTAGCTGCTGGCCTCTGCAGTGGCTTCCTAACTGAAGCAGAAGACAGGAGAGCTACCAGGACAAGGGCACAGTGTCCTGCTGCACCCAACCCTGCTCCCAAAGAGGGACTGGGTTCCTGCAAGCTTCCCCTCTCCTCTCCCTCACACAAGGGAAGAGGGAGGACGAGGAGAGGAGGTTTAACATCTCCCCTTGAGAGCAGACTTCAAGGAAAATGTGAAGGATGGAAACTTCAAGAAAAAACCAGAAAAGATGCAACATGAAACATGCTCCCAAGCCCTGCGCCCGCTGCAGCCTGATGGGTACATGAACCAGAGCCACCACAGCCCCACAGCACTACCTGTGTTACTCAGGACTTGTCACACCAGCCTGGGAATACTGTACCCCGTTTCAGACCCTGCTATACAGAAGAGATGTGGACAGGAGCAGGTCTGGAGAAGGGCCACAAAGATGATCCAAGGACTGGGTGAGGAAAGGCTGAGAGAGCTGGGACTGTTCAGCCTGGAGAAACGAAGGCTCAGGGGAGACCTTAGCCCCATGTTCCAGTGTTCAACCTGAAACATGGTTTAAACTGGAACTGGTACAAAGAAGATGGAGACTCCCTTTTTACAAGGGGTCACATGGAAACAAACAGGGTGGTGGGCACAAGTTACTCCTGGGGAGATTCCGACTGGACCAAGAGCAAGATTTAACAACCAGCCATTGGAATAATCTCCCCAGGGAAGTGCGGACTCCCCAGCATTGGACACTGTTAAGATTCAGCTGGACAGGATGCTGAGGCATCTAGTCTAGGTCATGCTGTGCCTAGAAAGGTTGGAGCAGATGATCCTTGAGGACCCCTCTACCTGGGATTCTGTGATTCTATGACTTCCTACAGCATGTCCCCAAGTCCTCCCCAGCACATCTGCTCCAAAATATGCATAAAAAATAAACAGCCAGTGTTCTTCACAATGACAAACGGCAGCAGAGAACATGCAGAGCTGCAGGTGCTACCCCAGTGTAATCTCAGCATTCAAACCAGAAAGGCTCAGCCATGATTTCCTCCACAGTGCTGGGAAATGCCTCCGATCTAAGGCACAGGCTTGCACAGATCATTCAATTTAACACCACAAAGGGGCAATTTAACATGTAAGCAGAAAGGTAAGAAACAAAAGACACTTAGTATTTTAAAGCTGAGGTGCCATGCAGTCAGAACATCCGTTCTGGTAGGAATTCTGATGTTACTTTAGACAATCAAGAAAGTTTAAGTAAATGTAGGATGTAATGGCACAGGGAAAGTATGTGTCAGACATTCACACAGCACATGCTATTGGAAAACAGAAGGCAAAGAATAAAAATAGAAATATTAATAAAAAAATCAGGCAAGATTGTGTGACACATGTAACTACTACACAGACAAGTAGTGCAAAGCAAAGGGGAGATGTAAAGAGCTAACCTGACTGGTTAGGGGAGTGGCTCACCAAGTCCCGAATGGGAGGCATGCCTATGGAAAGAAAAGCAAGACAGTCACAGAAGTGTTACTCTGGTAAAGTACCAACAGCCCCCAGAGCACTTGTTGCTCTAACCCCATCTGTTAGCACCCCTTCCTCAGGGAAGGTTCAGCTGAGGGGCCAACTCAGCCCCCGTGACCGTGCCTCAGCTGTGGCTCTGAACACAGGGAGGGTTACACCCACTGCAAACCAGCTTTCCCATTTAGCTATTAGCAATTCTGCTTCTACTCCTAGTTAGATTTTAAACATTTGGTCTTCAATTCACCAATTTAACATGTCCATAATTTTAAAAGTTTGATTTCTATAAAGAAGAGGAAGAACTGAGTCATTGAAACCAACCCCAGCTCATTTCTGACTGCACTGACTCCGAATTTCAGGGGTCAGTCCTGAAACTTCAGTAAATCCCTATCGCTCCTCTGAGGGGCACTTTCTCCACCTGAAAGTCATTATTTTGCTTCCTGATGTAGCAAACAGAAATGACCAAGGACGGTCCAACTCTGGTTTAACATCAGTGTGTGCACAACAAACTTTCCTCTATCCCTCTCTCATAGCTTCTTCCTCCCAAGTGTCCCGTAGGCACCGTATGAAATCAAAGTGAATGTTTCCAATTCACAAGTTCTGCAGTTGGAGACCACAACTATTATATTTAAGGCAATGTTTCCTAAATGAAGTCAGCCCCCACCACTTCTAACTGCAGATCCCTGACCAAGGAAAACCCCTCAACTTACAGGAAGAATCTTTCATTCCCAAAGGCTCTGGCTGTAACATCCTTCTGCAGCTCTGCTGCGAGATGCACATGGATAAAGTGAGGCCCACTCAACGCCAGAGCAGGACTCGGAGCGACGGGACTGACGCCAGGAGCCCGGTGCTGCTCTCCCCTTCTGCTCTGTCCCACACTTGTAAGCAATTACTGCTGGCAAATATTTCAGTTCACTGTATAAATCATTTCATTGTGGAACAAGCACCTGGCCAGCCCAATGCGTTACAAAGCTGAGGCAAACAAACATGCTGAGGCAGCATTCAAGACCTGCCTTTCATGTGAAGTTTACACACAGGGGGGGAAATATCAGCAAAGCAAACAACTGAACTGGGTATGAAAATGTTCTGATAAAGAGCTACTTATGTAGATTTCTTAAAATAACCTCCCTGCTACGGAGTCTGTCTGTCTCACAAGTACTGCACGCCATGGGTTCCACTCACATGCCTTTATTAAAGAGACATGCCAAATGTCCTAACAACAGCAGAAAAGAACAACCCACGGGACTACCCCTTTTTAAGCTTTACTTCTAAACAAAGGGAGTTCATTTTCAGAAGAAGAGATGACTGTCCACACAAAACACACGTAGACCACTGATATAGTTAAAAACTCCTAACACCAAAGACTTAAACACTTACTGTGGCCAGGGCAGTTAAAAGACGACTAAGCTTAGCAATACTGGTGGCTCCTGGCTTTCACAAAGCACCTACCAAACAGTTATGACCCTGGCTGGAACTGGGGATTGATCCTACCCCACGGCCTGCCGGGAATGACAGATCAAACTCCTGCAGCCATTACAAAGTCCAGCAACTCTGACTGCAACACTTCAAGCCACAGTTTTCCTTTTAGCCCTAAAATAGAGATAAATCTCAATATCCATTAAATAATGCTTTAAAAACAAAGAACTTAATCTTCAAAGATACTGCGTTAAGGTATAACATTTGTCAACCCAAATGGCCTGTACGTGGATATTCTTTCAATAGATAAGGATCTACAGACGTGCCAAATTTCAAGAGATTTTGAGTTTCAGAGATAACAACAAGGAGAGCACCCACAAGTTGTCATTGGAGGCTAAAAGAGGAACTCTGGAGAGCGAGACTGGGACAGGCAAATGTCAGTGGTATTTCCTTTCAGATACCAAGGTGCCAGAAGGCATTAAGCCACTCACATGCTGCTGGACTACGGCCACCTCCCTGTTACAGGAGTCTGAAACCACCATAAAAATCCAGCACTGAAAATCACTTTTCTTTATATTATCACCTTCCCTAAGTTTCTTAAAGAACATAACAAATGTGGTGCTCTTGGTTATAGGAAAGAGCTCTTTCAAGGATATGGACACATGGCACCAAGGCAGGAGACCCTGGCTGCCCAACCCCACTTGTGTGATCTTGGACCCCTGGAGCACAGCACCCAGCCAATGAAGACCCAAGAGGATGCTGCAGACAATGCAAACCTTTTAAGATGGGAAAGGCCTTTGGCCAACCTTTCTCCCCTTAAAGGCTCCCAGAACCTTTCAACTACCAGCTGGATGTATAGACATAACTATTCAAACAATTAACCTGTTCTCCAAAGCACAGAGCTACTCCAGGGAGGCAGGTCCCCACACACTCGCTGTAGCACTGTGGCACAGGGACACGCTGGCATCTCCCAGCCTAAAGGCTCCTCAGCCAAAGCAGCATAAAATCGAGCAAAACTGGGAAGAATGCAATACACAAATGGGAACCCAGCTGATTAACTGGTGTTCACAACAGAAGAGGAATGAAGAACACTATGCTCAGAGATCCTCTGGATACAATGAGGTGGTTTAACAGGTTGTATAAAGAGTAGTAATTCTTAAATCAGTTCACCTGGGAGGTTTTATCTAAACCTCTACCTGCTACCCTACAACCTGGCTAGTTGAGGATAAATGCTGGAGAAAAAGTTATAGCAAGTATATGAAAGGTTACTTTAAACCTGACTATTGACAGGATTATACAGGTGAACTAAAAAACCAAACATTACTTAAAAATGACTTCTTGGAGTGGTAAAGAGTTCTCCCAGGACGTGCCAAAATAATACTGGAAAGTAATATCAGAAACATTCCTCAGGGGGCACACGGATAAGCTGCTTCCAACGCTCTGTTTACTTTCAGTTTAAATGTGTTTCTTCAAGATTGAGTAATCAGAACAGCTCAAAATTTAACTACAATTTGAAATAACAAGGCTATTTTCCAGAAACCACCTTTTTTAGGTGAAGGGGCCAGAAGTCACATCCCTCGTGGTGTACAGGACACCAATTCTGAGCAACAAATCTTGACTTTGGAAGAAACTATTTGTGGGAACAGGTTACATAACATACAAATACAAAAATAAGAAGGTATTTGCCCAACATACGAAGTGTTGGCACACATTAATACCTAATCCCTTTGAAAACCTACATCCCTATGAAGAAAGTTACTTTTCTTATCCAGCCTGAACTGTTTTTATTGTCTCCCCAGAACTCTGAGCTGCAGGCCAGTACATTCACTGAATGGCAAATTACAGATATTTAACAGGTAAGTTTACTACTCTTAGGAGGGTATTTGAAGAGAATGTGTAACAAGCCAGCATAACAAAGGATAACTCTACTTAAACAGTAATAAAGGTAAAGGTTGATCCATTTGCTAAGACAACCAAGCTTCATGTAGATGAACAAAGAAAAACTCTGATCTAGCAGCAAAAAGCAACTCTGATATTCAAACATGTTGCACCCTGCCTGTCTCGCTAGATATGAAGCAGAAAAAACACCGAAGTCTAGAGATGCTGTTCAGAACCCATGTGAAGGACCCTTCCTTGCAAGATCTGTGTACCAAAACTGGATGCAAAAAGAGATGCTTTGTACCACAACCGCGCTTGCATCAATCACCAGGATAAAGACTGGAAACTCAGAACCTAGCTCTGAACTGTGGCCACATTGGCTCCTGGTCAGAACCAGACATATCTACTGTGCACCACTGGCAACAAGGAGCAACTACGATGTCTCAGGTTTCCATATGCAACTTACACAAGGATGGCCCAAACCATCCTGCAGTGTTTCATATTAAGCTAATACATCGGAAAAATCTCTCACCATGCCACAGCTCACATGTAAAGTTTCAACAGTATTACTCAACAACAAAACTGAACTGAGACAATTTGAGTTTAAAGGAACTCACGGCACCTCCCCTCACCTGGCTGTTTTTTGCTGCTGTTCGGCACCTCTCCGTTGGTCACTGGCTGTTTGTTTGTGACAGTGCTGCCTCCTGACTGGCCGTTCAATACTTTAGGAGTAGATCCCAGGTTTGCAGCTATCACTGGTAACTGCTGACCTCGTTTCAGAAGCTGTTTCTGTTCCTGGTGTCGAAATCGCGGTGGTACTTCACGAGGAGGGTATCGAGGCAAGGTCTGCTGCTGCTGGCTGCTGGCTGGGGCCCGCTTGGCATTATTATTAGTGCTGGTTGCTGGGGAAGTGCCGCTGGAGGTGACAGGCTGAGGCTGGCTTACACTGGTCTTGGTTTGTTCTGGCACTGCAGCCAAACCCAGAAAGAGAGAAAGTTGGACACGGTTATTCGTAAGAACAGCAACTTCAGTTGAAGACTAAGTCAATATTCTTCCACATCTTCATGTGGTGTGTAATGGCAGCAAGATTTCTTCTCATTGCAGCGGTAACTCATTCCCCATTAAAAGCTCAATCATCCCATAATCACATAGCTTTAATAGTACAGACCTGGAAGCAGAAACGTATCTTACTATCACTCCTAACAAAGTTATTCTGGCTAAAGTATGCTACTACTAACAAACTTTCTATAGGGTTTTCTGACAAATCAGCTTATTTCAGCAATTATTTACAAAAATGCTTAAATACTAAAAAAACCCCAAATCTTTCTCCAACGGGAAACTTAAGTGTTACACATAGAAAAACGTCCTGGTCTTGCCCAGAAGAGCAGGAGGTGAACAGGACACACAGAACATAGCTGGGACTTGCCTGCTTCAGCAGCCCTAGCACCCAAAGCAAAATGTATTGGTCCCTCAGGTCAACCTGCTCCAGCAGGGGCAGCTAACACCACTGGTACCAACAGAGAGCCTGGCAGGACCGTGCCAGCGTGTGACTGCAGCTTCAAAGTACCCTTCAGTCTTGGCACCACAGCCCCTTCAAGGCCAGGTGAAGGTCAAACAACTTGCAGAGGGCAGCTGTGAGTGAACACACCAAACCCTGATGCTGGATGAAGGGAAAACCACAACATCCTCCATCCAACATCTCCACCCTGTCAGTACAAAAGTGGTGGTGAGCACGGGGTGGCTGGGTGTAGGAAACGGGTTAGGAGACCAGGCTCAACAGATAGGAAGGAATACTGCAAGCTACTGGATGTGTTTCCTGGTGCTACTGCCATCCATCCCAACCACTCTCTTCCAACAGTGTGGTACTTCCAACAGCGTACTTCCAACCCCTCACATGACTGACATGTCAATGTACTTTTCACATTTCTCCATGAGACATCCACATAACGTGTTTACATTCACTGTGGAACTCCCCGAGATACCCCAGGACTCGACCATGACCTCCCTCAGCACTGACCTGCCTGCATGGTCAAGTCATCATCTCTACTCAGAGCTTCACAAGGTCCGAGTTGCTGAAGGCAA